TATTTTATTTATTTATATGTATATATGTAAATTGATTGCTCAATTTAAAAATGAGTCTGGTTACCTGTTAGTTGATCAAATATTTTAATAAACCTAAACAAAATCTGTGACTTAGTTAATTTGTCTTGTGAAAATTGATCATTGAGTAGTCACTTTTTTATGCTTATTTAAATACATATACGCTGTCTAGAACCATAATTTCCAGACTTTTTCAAGCTCCCATGTGGTCTTTGGAACACGTTTGTATCACACAGTTTTCTTATCTGTTATCTTTTTAGTACTGATCTCTACATGCTGTCTTCTTTTTCTTCTCACTTCATTAAATTCTTCCCAACATCTCTAGGAGGTTGATAATTTTCAAACACAAATTCACTCATGTATGATGTTATTTTAAAATATATCTAAACATACACAAGTCCTAACTAAAAATAATAACTGAACGGGAAACTACTTTAAATACCCATGGTGTCCAATTATTTTACTGTATTCAATAAGTAAAAATCATAAATTGTAAAAGATTATTATTACAGAAAGGCTACTAAATGAATAAGATTTGTTAGATCATAATTAATAAACCCAAATAAAGTTAATATTTTTTGTATTAGAAACAACGAGTGGAAAATATATTCAAATCAGAATTCTAATTATGAATCACCACAAGCAAAATATGCAATTTTTTTTACTGTATTCAATAAGTAAAAATCATAAATTGTAAAACTAAAAGATTACAGAAAGGCTACCTGCATTTTTCAACCGATTTCAACAAAACTTCACTTTTTTTTTTGGCATGTAGTTTTCTTATTGTCTTGCACACTTTTTTTTTTATTTTTTACATTCAGAATGCTTTAAAATTCCATTTACAAGACAATTGTTTATGATAAAATTCTATTCAATCGGTAGAGACTCATAACGATTGAAAACAATGTTTTTGTTTGGGTTTGACCAATTCGTAAAAAAAAAAAACTAATTAAGACATGCATGTCCGTCAACCTTAAACAATAATCTTTGTCAATTTTATTTTTCAATCTTTATGATGGTCGATACTTGATATATTGCTTACTGTTATATCCCCGGGCAACGCCAAGCTCTACTGCTAGTGTTCTCTAAGATGATTAAAGAGAGCAGTTTCTTTTTAGAGGTACTAAAATTAACTTCATCCTCATATATAAGATGTTCCCCCTTATACATCCAAGAAAGTCAATTTGCTTCTTCTTTAGAGGAATTTCTTCATATTATCATTATTTTTGCATACACAGTTTTATGTGTTTGCATGTACATAGGTACATCAATAAGATATGCATGCACACACACATTTGTGAAATCTGTAGCTTGATGATGAAAAAAAGAATTGAATTTTCTACATATTTTTCAATATAATCTTTTGTCAACCCCCTTTTTTCTTATTAATCGCTAAGCTGAACATCATACAGCAAAAATTTCAGATCAAGATTCAGCTAATAACTGTCAAGTTCATAGATTTATTGATCTGCCCTCACAACCAATATTTTTCGTCAATCACCAAAGAAAGTTAATTTGATTCTTTAAATTAGTTTCTTGATGACTGATATCATATTTCTTCTTTAATAAATTTAAATTCTTCTAAATTACCTACATTTAGTCAAGCATAAATAATAATGGCATACAATATTTCATTTTTTTTTTATTCTATTAATGTAATTTAATAAAAAGTATAAACTGAAGGACTTTAATTGAATTGTTTATAATCACTCTTATTATATTACGTTCTTACCTTGACGACCCCAGGCTTTTCAAAATGTTTTTCATTAAATCAACAAAAATAAGTCAGTTTTTGTTGGCATTTTATTTTACACTTTAAAATTTGTTGAAAATGCAATTAATAAAATATAAGCTTATACTCAAGTTTCAGGAGCTAAAAGTGTGTAATTACTTTTTTTAAAAAAACACAAACTAGAAATGATATTGAGAAATGAATGACATGCCCCCCCAAATGGGAATGTTGGTTAATTTGACAGATGACCAGATTGGGCTATCTATCTGATTTCATTAACTTTTGGGTAGTCACAGACATGTTTAGATATTTATTTGTGTGTGTGTGTGTATATATATATATATATATATATATATATATATATATATATATATATATATATATATATATATATGGTGGTAAATTTAAAAAACCTCGGATAGCTCAACTTGCAGTAGAACAAATTGGTACTCGAGGAAAATGTGGAATAAAAAAAAAAGAACCAAGAACATTAAAACAAGGCGAAAACAATCGTCCAGTGTTTAAGCTCCAAGTCCAAAGGAAAAAAAAACTATAATGAGTAAAAAGACAACTACGTAAAGTGCTCAATACACGAAGTAGAGCAAAACCTAAGATAATCCTAAGGAGCTAGGCAAACCTACCTAGGTTTCACCTAAACGGATCTTCAGGGTAAAGCCAGCTTCGTTTTATGAAAATTACACAAAAAATATCTTGAAATACTAAAAAGTAAATTTAGTCAGTAAAATTGCCCTTGGCTTCAACCACAGCCTCCAGACAATTTCAGAATCTCCTGCAACTCTTTTGGACAGTCACCTTGTTTAAGTTGATGAATGCTGCCATAATCCTTGCCTTCATCTTTGGTGTTACAAGGAGTTCTGTTGGTTTCTCATTCAACTGCACCCCACACAAGGGGGTTGCAGTCTGTGGAGTTAAGTGACCAGATGTAAGGGGTGATATGGTTGCAGAAATTATCTGACAGCCATAACTGGGTTCTCCTGCTTATGTGGCATGGTACAGTTCTTTTGCCAACTATAGGGTTTTCCAGCAGCCACCCTCTTGACCCAAGGCTGAACTACCTCCTCAAAGCAATTGATGTAGGTCTCCATATTGAGCCTGAGAACCTGTAGGAAGACGAATGGAGGCATAGCATCAGCATCACTTGTGATCATTTCAAACACCTTTGTAATCATCATTAGATTCATCCAACTCTCTCTGAATCCTCTGCAGTGTCTTCAGATTGACACATTTTGACAAAGTCAAAGACAAACAATGCACAAAATTAAAAATGTAGAATGACGACAATTTACCCATCGCACCCTCTCTGTGTGTGTGTGTGTGTGTGTGTGTGCATCATGCATTGAGTGCTAATGCTCGATATATAACAGAGCTAAATTTTATATTGATAAATATACATTTTTTTCTCACCAGTAGCACAACTCATGCATGATGCAATTTTCAAGTGCTGATCCTGATGATTGCATTATGCATGAAACTCGTGTGTGTGTGTATATATATATGTATATGTATATAAAGTGCGCAAATATGCAGAAAATAGAAAAGAACATGTTGGGTGCATAATCCGAAGTTCCTTAGTATTTTTGTTTTTATTTTTAATAAGACAGTTCTCCATACAGAAGTAGAGCTTATATTATAATATTTTTTTGTTTAAAAAATATGATTCCTTCGCTACATAAGAGTTCTCATGTTTCAAAAACGAGAGCCGGAACCATCCAAATAATTATTAAAATTAAGTTGAATTAAGGTGTTTAGTCCCATTTCATCTTCAAGCAAAATTTTAGGAATAAGCTATCTTCTGGTTTATGTGTGTTTTTAAGCATGGTTCGTTATAACATTCATTGGTTCCGGCTCTCGTTTTTGAAACATGAGAACTCTTATGTAGCGAAGGAATCATATTTTTAAACAAAAAATATTATAATTATTATATATATATATATATAAGCATTCAGTTTTTATATATGCATGGTACTTATTTGAAAGCACTCAATATCAGTGATAGAGCTAACATATTGCATGTATGTACCACCCCTATAACATAGCTAATTACATAATAGTTACAGACCTTTGTCTGACAAGTGTAGTACCTTCAGTAGGGATAGACCTTACTATACAATAGTATCATTCTTCTTGTTTAATTCATTAACCATTACCTCTCTGCAAGATATATATATCTATACACACACACACACACATTTGTAAACTAATAAAAATTTAAAGGAGAACCAATTTATAGTTAAATAAATAATAAAGGAAATTTTTTAAAAGGCAGGAATGTTTTTCATATTAATATACATTCACCTTGTGTTTGCTTCACTCAGCAATTTTTCAGAATATTTGGTGTATTTTTAGGAGGAAGCAAACTTCACTAAAGTGACACATACACTGAAAATTTCATGATGAAATCTGAACATTCACCAATTATTTTTCCTTTCTTCCAGATTCTGCCATTTGTACTTCCACCCCCAACCCCACCATTTTTTTTTTTTTTTTTTTTTTTTTTTGTTAAAATCTTTCTCCCTGAAATAACTTGATATGAAGTGGCTATTTACTGGATTTAGCATAATGATAGTTCTTAACAGAAAAGATGATTTTAGACATTTTTATTATTTTTTGAAAAATATAATGACCTTTGTACTCTAAATATCTGGACAAAAATAGCAATAATGTCAATCTATATTCTCTTTAAAATTATAAAAAAACAAATGTTCTCTCTTATTTTTGTTTACCAGAGAGAATTGAAAAGTTCTGGCTTGACCCATTTCACAAAATTAGTATTTCATTGACCAAATATTGGAATAGTTATTTTGGGAAGTGTGTTGGCCTGAGAAACCCTTTAAAAAAATGATAATATTTAACCAGATTTTGTGAAGTGAGTCAAGCTGAGAACATTTCATCATTTTTTTTTCTTTTTGTGTATGTGTGTATGTATATATATATATATATATATATATATATATATATATATATATATATACACACACACACAAAAGAAAAAATAGATATGTGTGTGTATTTGGGCAACAATCCCTCTTTTTATACTACTTTCATTGAAAACTGGGGTTAAGGTTTTTTTATGTAATTTTTCTTGTGTTCTTATAATTTTCTTTTCTGGATATAAATTTTGTAGAAATTGTCCAAATGTTTTGTATGTCCAGGCACTTTTGGTGATACCATTATCAAGGATGATTTTATTTTTACTTTTAGCTGAATGTATAGATTTATGTATGTATGTATGTATCTATCTATCTATCTATCTATCTATCTATCTATCTATCTATCTATCTATCTATCTATCTATCTATCTATGTATCTAGAGTTATTGGATGTTTTATTTTACAAACACTGTCAGCACATTGTGGGGATGTTCATAGTTATTATTGAGTGCTGACTTTTTCATTTTTTATTAATAATGCTTCCATAATTTTTAACCTTGTTTATATATAGATGAAGTTATTATATTTGTATTATCAATGAGTATGTTGCAGATGGAATTTGGTAGATCTCCATGTGTATTTAAATGATATCTAATTGAGATATGGTCAGAGATATGTTTTTAATGAAATATATATGTGTGTGTTTCATTTTCTTTATTTTCTGTGAATTGTTATGCCTTGGTAAAGACAGTGGTGTGGTTTCCAGTTGTCTTCTCCACAGGTTTGAATACATATTTGTCTTTCTCTTTAAGTGGTTGCCATCTCTAAGGATAGAGAGTTCAGTCTATCCTGCTATTTAACCCATAGATGAGGTGAGAAGAAATATTCATGCTTTTCCTGGGAATATTTATGGAAAGATAAATATAATAGAATAGGTTAGAATTTGAATTTAGGTCAGCAATTACACTTTCTATGCTGATATAACCGTTAAGCTACCTGCATATCTGATTGAAGCAAATACTGCTTCCAATTAGACCACAAAGGGAGCAATTTATGAAAAGTATCTGCATCTGAGATTAAAGAGCATAATATTCCATAATATTCTGCCTCGTTCTCTACTGACAAGGCAGAAATTGTTGCAGCTTAGCTAGGAAGTTTTTGCTCATCCATCATATTCACCAGATATTTCATCATTTTTTTTGATCTTTACAGAATTCTCTTAATGAAAAAAAAAAATTCAGATACCGAGAAAACACTAAAATGCAACTAGTACAGATCTTTGCTTAGGCAAAGCTGGGAAAGATAAAAAGTTTTGGAGAGTAGAATTATGAAGTTGCTTGAAAGATGCCAGAATATAGTGCAACAAAATGAATATATTATACAATAAAGATTATGTTGAAAATAAAAATTGTCACACACACACACACACACACACACATAAAATGTTGATTCTAAGTGCTTTGATTCGCAGCATAGAAAAAATTAGAAATTGAAAGAAATTGCTAGATGCAGCTATATGTTCTATGCTAACAGTTTATTCTCTTGTACTCTTTGCTTATGGAACTCACTTACAGCTTCTTTGTTTTCAGTCCAGTTTGATCTTCAAAAATTTAAATCCAATGTCAATTGTCATCTTCTGTCTCCTTGAATCCTGTTCTTTTTTTTTCCTATCACCTTAATAATGTTTTCTTTCCTCACTCTTTCGCTCTCCGTAATCCCTTCCATCTTAGTGGCTTTATTCCCTTGCGTAGAGCAAAATGGTTAAAAAAAATGTTTTGCTTTTTTTTCTGTTTTGAATCAGTTCACTGCAGAAATGTAGAATTAATTCCTTTTTTAATCTGGCAGTTAATGAGGCAAAAAGCCATTTTTGTTCACAAGAAAGTATTTTGTGGGAACAAACTCAAAACAGTGTTAAATGATTCATACAAGTGTTGAAATAAAACATTTCATTCTTATTTGTAAAAAAAAATTTCATATAAGATGAATGCTTACATTATCTCAGTTTGTGCATATTTTTCCTGCTTGAATCAAGAAAAGGCAAATCAGGGCTCTTGTATTTAATTTTTCTCTGAGGTCAAAGGGTCTATAGTGCTTCCTCTGTTGACTTTTGGTGTTGAAAGATATTAGTTGTGAAGAGAATTATTTTTGCAGCAGATGTTATGCTGCCTTGCCAATTAGATAAAATTGTTTTATCTTTCATCACACATCCCGTCTAAAATAATTTTCTATGTTTAGAACTGTCCATTTATAAAAGACCGTACAGTTATGAATCGGAATTATCACTAGGGTTTTTATGCTGTGCCCAGAAATGGTCCAGTCATTAAGTTGCAGTCATAAAATATTTGTGACCTACAAAATATATCTGAAACTGCAATGTTCAAGAATTCCAGTGAATCACCTTTGAATAGAACTAACTAGGATCAGTCTTTTTTTTTTGTTTTCTTCTCTCACTGTTTTTCAACCTCTTTTTCTTTCTTTTCTTCTTTCTCTCAGTCCTTCAACCTCTTGTTTTTTCTTTTTCCCCCCCCTCTCAGTTTTTAAACCTCTTCTTCTTTCTTTTCTTCCCTCTCTCTGTTTGTCAAACTCCTTTTTCTTTCTTTTCTTCCCTCTCTCTGTTCGTCAAATTCCTTTTTTTCTTTTCTTCCCTCTCTCTGTTCGTCAAATTCCTTTTTTTCTTTTCTTCCCTCTCTCTGTTCGTCAAATTCCTTTTTTTCTTTTCTTCCCTCTCTCTGTTCGTCAAACTCTTTTTTTTCTTTTCTTCCCTCTCTCTGTTCGTCAAACTCTTTTTTTTTCTTTCCCTCTCTTCCCTGTTCTGTCAAAACTCTTTTTTTTTTCTTTCTTCCCTCTCTCTGTTCGTCAAACTCTTTTTTTTCTTTTCTTCCCTCTCTCTGTTCGTCAAACTCTTTTTTTTTTCTTCCCTCTCTCTTTTTCTTTTTTTTTTTCCCTCTCTCTGTTCGTCAAATTCCTTTTTTTCTTTTCTTCCCTCTCTCTGTTCGTCAAACTCTTTTTTTTCTTTTCTTCCCTCTCTCTGTTCGTCAAACTCTTTTTTTTCTTTTCTTCCCTCTCTCTGTTCGTCAAACTCTTTTTTTTCTTTTCTTCCCTCTCTCTGTTCGTCAAACTCTTTTTTTTCTTTTCTTCCCTCTCTCTGTTCGTCAAACTCTTTCTCTTTCTGTTTTTTTTTCTCTCTCTCTTGTTCGTCAAACTCTTTCTCTTTCTTTTTTTTTCTCTCTCTCTTGTTCGTCAAACTCTTTCTCTCTCTCTGTTCTTTAACCTTTTCCTTCTATGATTTGACTTAGATTACTCTTCTGTAATACACATTGACATTTCTGGCATTCTAAGATATATTTTGAGTAATAGCCTCCCAATTGTTATTTTTTGACCAGTATTCTTGAAAAATGTATATCCTCTTTGGAATTCTGAATGACATGCTATTTGCCAAAGGTAGCGAGTTAAAAAGGATGTTTCATGTATTGACAAATGTACAAAAAATGCATATAAATGTGATTGTAATATAGGAAGGAAAGTTCCAAAGTTTACATAAATTCTTGAATGTTTGTAAACACCCTCCCCCTGCAAAAATAGTTGAGTAAAACAGCCATAGTTATTAGTCAATTTATATTATTTTAACACAGGTGTATTGATATCACTTGATAAGTTTTTTTTTTTTACCAGCTAGATCATATAATTTTTTTATTATATACTTTACTATGAGCATATGGCCAAGTGGTTAGAATGTTTGCTTTCTAACAATGTGACCTGGGTTGGAATGACACCATGGCCGATGTGTCGAGTTTGTGACTTCTTGATATATTGACCAAGGGAGTTCCCTTTCAAAAGTGCCTGAAAACCACACCATGGGTTAACCTAAGCCTTGTGAGTGAAATTGGGTAAGTGGAACTGTTCAGAAACACTTGATGCTTATGCTTGCACAAAGTCACTATGACCAAGCATTTTAGCCTACTGGCCTTGTAAAAAAAAAAAAAAAAAAATCATGCCAGATTATGCAGTCTCTCCCAGAAACTGTAACTATGGTCTACTCAGCATAGTTGCAGTATAAACCAGAGGTGGACTCTGTGGATTTTGAGCAGGCATCTGTAACATGTTTGGCTAGCCACCCTGGCAGACAAGTGTACTCAGAAATGTCCAGTAGCCGGCCATTATGCTTTACTATTTAAACCAGGTTGTGATATTCATAATGTTTCAAACAATCGTATTCTCCTGCCTTCTTCAAACAATCGTATTCTCCTGCCTTCTTCAAACAATCGTATTCTCCTGCCTTCTTCAAACAATCGTATTCTCCTGCCTTCTTCAAACAATCGTATTCTCCTGCCTTCTTCAAACAATCGTATTCTCCTGCCTTCTTCAAACAATCGTATTCTCCTGCCTTCTTCAAACAATCGTTATTCTCCTGCCTTCAAACAATCTCCTGCCTTCTTCAAACAATCGTATTCTCCTGCCTTCTTCAAACAATCGTATTCTCCTGCCTTCTTCAAACAATCGTATTCTCCTGCCTTCTTCAAACAATCGTATTCTCCTGCCTTCTTCAAACAATCGTATTCTCCTGCCTTCTTCAAACAATCGTATTCTCCTGCCTTCTTCAAACAATCGTATTCTCCTGCCTTCTTCAAACAATCGTATTCTCCTGCCTTCTTCAAACATCGTATTCTCCTGCCTTCTTCATGTGTTTGTTTTCATTCTCTGTAGATTAAAATCTTATTCTGCTTCCCATGCTAAAGAAATATTTCATAGTTAATACTTGTATTATTCACCTTTATGTTGCTTGTTCCTTTTACTGAACTAAAGTATGACTTCAGCACTACCAGATCTAGTGATTGAACTCACAACTGGCAGTATGAAGAGTGAAATTAACAAACTGACTTTGAACTATACTTGGTACAGTTGGTATTTACTTCATTCTAATGGCCTTTAAAAAGGCATAAAGCTACTCCTAACCCCAGTTATGGGCAAATAGAAATAGACTTTGTAAAGGTAGAACATCATGAATGGTACACTCATTTTGCAGAAATGCAGAAAAAATATGAATCCATTTTTCTATCCAGCTTTATCGGTAAATAGCAGAGCAGTTGGATCTCTTTAGCATCGTAAAGATGGTCTATCTTGGGTCTTTGACACTAGGTTAGGTCAGGGCTTAATGATTGCTGCTAGTATCATATAACCCAGTACAACCTGTTATATGTTACTTGGAGAGGAGATTGGCACCATCAAGTAACTCCCATTTCCCTAAGAGAGGCTATGAAAGGGAGTTACTCAGCATGTAATAGATTGTGGTGTAAACATCCATCATGAGACAGACTCTTAGGAAGATGACTAGTTTTAATGCGTTAATGATCGCTGTTTTTTTTGGCGGGGGGGGTGTTTTTTTGTTGTTTTTTTTTTGCAACAACCGATATTTATAAATATTGACAGTAATGTAATCTGATATTCATAAGGATCTACTGATAATTGTTGATATATATTCTCATCTTTGATTTTATGTTGTCTATTTAACTTAAACATTTCCTAATTGTCTTTAGCGTTCTCACTTTTTAATTCAAATTTTAAAATATTTTAATGAAAATGTTATGTAACAAGATCAGCTTAAACTAATTCTTTAATTGGTCTTATTGAATATGTGGATGGTGTAATGGATAATAGCTCAGAATTTTTAATGAAAAAGCTGATTGTAATCAGGTTTGCAAAAGTATCCTTAATCATATTCTACATAGGAAAAAAAATTTCAAATAGTATTAGACAAAATATATAAGTTATTCTTGATCAGATATTACCTCAAAAGATAAAATGTACTATAAAACAATTTGTTGGACAAATGTTGGTATTTTTTACTGACAATAGTATGTGACTGAGTGACATTCACTAAACTATTTGCCTCCAATAAATGTTTTTAACTATGTAGATGACCTTTTAGGCAGTCCACAAACAACTGTGTCAGTGAAGTAACAATTATTTCTAACTCTGTGGTAAGTTGGGAACCAACAATTCTAACTCATTGTAAAACTTAAATTGGTCCTACAGGATCCAAATTAAGGAATGTAAATGAAAGTAATTTTGAAAATACTCTCCTATCCCTTCTGGATTTAGGGAAAACACGACTTTCCAGAGACCCCCCCCCATTTTTTTAAATAAATATCTGTGCATTGCAGTATGAAAAGTATTGCTCACGTTTGCATATATAAATATTTGTATTAAGAAACAGTGGTCAGTGCTGGTGTCTTTTTATTCATGTACACACACATTGTGTGTGTGTGTGTGTGTGTATATATATATATATATAGTTTTATCTGTTTTATTGATGGAATACAGATTTGATTTTTTTTTCCTTAGGATTTTTCAATTTCTAGACTGGTTGACATTAATTTTACTATTTAAAACATCTGCTAAAATAACATTTATAGCAATATGAAAGTATGTCAGATTAAAAAATAAATTCATTTTGTTTACATTTTGGGTACAAAAATACAGCTAACATATATAGACACTGAAATGTCCCAGTGAGAGGTGCGCATTCCTTAAGCAGGTAATTGAGTCTTGGTTTCCTGTGATCTAATTGATAAGGCACATTTTGGCTAAAGATGTAATTTCCCTGATTGAAAAAATAATGTATGTTTGAGTCCTATCAGGAGGCATATTTTTTTTGTTAGTAAGGATTTTTCAATTTTTAGGCCAATTGATAGTAATTTCATTGTTTAAATTAAAAGGGATGCCAACCCAAAACACATGTAAACATTAAAAATAATGTTTATACTAATATGCAATTTAGTGTATGCTATACCATGTTCTAAAAATAATATACATAATACACATTTTCTTATAATTCTGCCATATCTATTTACTCATAATACATTTTAGATATTTACCAAGTTTAACTTTTTTTTAAAGCAGATGATTGCTGTGGGCGGAGAGTCTCCTTGCCTAAAATATTAGCCAGCACTCTCTTAATGTTTCCATAATGTTGGAACACTACATGTACTGTGGCTACAGCAATAGGTGTGTTTATGGTAACATAATCTTTTGAAGTACTTCCTTTTTTAGGTTGGTTTGAACTCGGAGTTGCTCTTTTTCTCCTTGTTAACTAGTTACCCTACTGCAGCTAAAAGACTTAGTCTGCTTTATTATTTCACCTATAGTTATGAGAAGAGATGAATTCATGCCTTTTTGAAGAGTGAATTTGAACTTTTCTCACCAATGTTATTTTTTGCACTCATAGACATTATGCCAATTGTATATCCATGATTTTTACATGCCCTCAAATACTGATCATTGGTATCTGTAGAAAATATTCAACTACCTCAGCCACTAAACAAGACCAGTTGGTTATAAAAAAGCAATAAAAACTAAGTGTTGTAGCATACCTACAATCATACGTATATCCCCATTTACATAAATACAGTAGTAAATACTGTATGTTGGTCTGCAGTTGGAGATTCATTATAATTCACTTGACTCGCTTCTAGCAGTTCTATGCGCTGCTGGCGAATCTTATATGTGTCATTCTTGTCCTAAGTATTATCGTTCATTACCAGCCTTCGTTTGATTATTCTATTCAGGAATCTTCCCTAGGTTACAACACTGAGTTACTGCTATTTCTGTTCTTTTGATTAATATTCACTTAAATATATTTAAATATCTGTTGTGAAAGGTGTCTTTTGGATAATAGCTTTTTCAATAAAGTCATGGTGTAGAAACATGCCTGTGCTGCTGCTTCTATGTGTCATGTCCTTTCAGGATGTAGGCAATCATCTCTCTCCACATCTTTGTAGCTCTTAGTAAGTTTTGTCTTTTCACCATCACTCCCAGTCTCTGTTCTGCCATCTATTTAAATAAGCATGTTAGGTAGGCTACATGCTGCTTTTCTCTATTCTTCTTGCCTTCAGTACATCCTGTGAGTGTCAGATTCTCCAAGCCCTCTTTCCTCATTGTGTCCTAGAAATTTCAACTCTCCTTCTGATTATAAGTATAAGCATCCTTTTTGTTTTCATTTTCCTTAAAATTTCCACATTACTAACATGTTCAGCCAATGTTATTCTCAGCATCCTTCTGTAGAACCACATTCCTGTTGCTTCAAGTCTTTGTTATCTGTGAGAAAATTATCAATCCTGGCAACCCAAATGTCTATGCTAAAATGCAAAAAACAAAACTTAAATAAAAATAGCCAGCAAATTTTTCCTAAAAGTAATATTTTACATTTTTGGCTGCATTATGTACCTTTTTTATATCTGTGTATCATGTGATTATTTTGTTTATCACATGACATGCTGAGTTCAAGTT